CTGGGTTTACTCTTTGGTTTTAAAAATAATATTAATAATAATAATCTGAAACTCTTCACCAACCAGGGACAGACTTCAAATTTTTTTTTAAATCTAAAAGTTGGGCTGGGGCTGTAGCTCGTGGTAGAGYGCCTCCCTTGCTTATGTAAGGCACTGGGTTCAATCCTCAGCACCACATAAAATAAATAAATATACTGTGTGTTTATCTACAACTGAAAAATATTTTTTAAAAAAAATCTGAAATTCATTTGTCCTTTTTGATGTTTTCAAGTGCTACAGATGAAGCATGGCGACTATTGTCTACTTATCTAGACAGGTACAAAGTGCAGAATAAYTTATATCACCACTGTGTAATCAATAAGCTCTTGTCCCATGGAGTGCCTCTGCCCAATTGGCTTATAAACAGTTACAAGGTATGTAACATCTTAACTTGTTGAGATTAAGAACCYGCTCTTTACCATTCTAAATAACTTAATGAGATAATTTTTTTTAAAAAAGGTTTGATAATTTATGGAAACATACTGAATTAAATACCGTGGGCAGTTTCTCAGTCATAGCTAAAATCACTAACAACAATGCCATACCATGGTATTTAAAGTTCCACTGGTTACTAATTAGATAAATGCCTGCCTATATGCTAAATGAATAGTGAGCATATGTTCAGAATAATGAGTATATGCAGGACATAGTTTCTACTGTTAACTTAAAACATTCATGTCAGTATGTGGAGTAGTTTCAAATGCAACAGTTTGTTTAAATTGGTATTGTCAAAATTGAGTTTGTGGATGATCTATGAGTCTGGTTATCATTACCATAAAGAAATAACCTTTGGCCGGATGCAGAGGCACATGCCTGTAATCCYAGTGGCTTGGGAAGCTGAGATAGGAAGATCGCAAGTTCAAAGCAACAGTGAGGTGCTAAGCAACTCAGTGAGACCCTTTCTCTAAATAAAAAACAAAATAGGGCTGGGGATATGGCTCAGTGGTCAAGTACCCCTGAGTTCAATCCCTTGTACCCAAAAATAAATAAATTTAATTTAATTTTTGAAAAATAAAAGAGAGGCTGGGATCGTGGCTCAGTGGTGGAGAGCTTACCTAGCATGGGTAAGGCACTGGTTTTGATTCTCAGCACCACATACAAATAATAAAATAAAGGTCTATCAACAACTAAAAAATACTTTAAAAATAAACAAATKAATAAATGAGAAAGAAATAACTTTGGGCTGGGGATAGAGCTCAGTTGGTAGAGTGTTTGCCCCACAATMACAAGGCCCTGGGTTCAATCCCCAGCACCACAAAAAAAGGAAAGAAAGAAATCACCTTGCCAGACACAGTGGCACACACCTSTGGTCCCAGCAGCTCAGGAAGCTGAGGCAGGAGGATTGCACTTTCAAAGCCAGCCTCAGCAATTAGCAAGGCCCTAAGCAATTTAGTGAGACCCTGTCTCAAAGTAAAAAGGACTAGGGATGTAGCTCAGTGATGAAGTGCTCCCTGGGTTAATTCCCTAGTACCAAAAAACAGAAATCACCTTAGAGCTGGGGATGTACCTTGGTGGTAGAGTTGTCACCTAGCAGCACCATCCCCAGTACTTCAAAAGAGAAACAAAAGAAAAACCTGAGGCAGGCTAACTTTATAAAGAAAGAAGTTTAGGGGGCTGRAGATGAGGCTCAAGTGGTAGCGCGCTCGCCTGGCATGCGTTAGRCACTGGGTTCAATCCTCAGCACCACATAAAAATAAAATAAAGATTGTGTCCACCTAAAACTAAAAAATAAATATTAAAAAGAAAGAAAGAAAGAAATGTGTCTGGCTAATAGTTTGGGATGCTGAAAATCCAAGAATATGTAGTSCCATCCATTTGGCTACCATGAGTGCCCTCTTGGCAGTGTCATATCGTGCAGATATGCCATGGTGTGAAAGGGCTGGGCTCACTTTTAATAATTCACTCTCAAGAACTACTGTAATCCCTCTAGGTAGTACCCTTATTGATCTAAGGACCACCCCCCGAGGCCCTATCACTTAAAGATTCCAACATTTCCCAAAGTCACCACATTAGGGACCAAGCCTCCAACATATGAGCTCTTGAGGGACAACCATAGCAGATTATCTGCATCAGAATTATTAGAATGGTGGACTTCTTTAAAATATAGATTCAGCTACCTCAAAYAGAATAAGGAAAGAGAACCTAAGGTTAAAAATTAAAAAAAAAAAAAAAAAGAAGAAGAAGAATTTAGGAGCTCGGGTTGTGGCTCAGTGGTGGAGTGCTTGCCTCACATGAGTGAGGCACTGGGTTCAATTCTCAGCACCACATATAAATAAATAAATAAAATAAAGGTCCATCAACAAAAAAATATTTTGAAAAACATAATCTATAGTCTAAAATAAGGAAAGCTGATTTTAAGTTAAAAAATARAGAAAATAAGATGATAAAAGAAAGAATGTAATCAAATCAGAACTTAGAAAACATTTAACATAATTAATAGCATTCTTCCAAACTGAGACTATGTTCATTCTTCTCTCAGAGGAGACAGTACCAATTAGGTATAAATTTAAACTGGTGATTCTTTGAACGACTTTTGCATTTGTCATTTATATATATAT